AACACCGGATGGATCCGATAAGACGGTGGTAACGCTAGCTTGTACGAGACCTAGAAAAGTTTTTCGAGAACAGGAAACGGCCCATAAAACCGTCGGGCTAGCTTTTGGGAGGGCCGACGTGTGACCGAATGCTTGCGATAAGGCTGAAGTTTCAAAAGTACCAGGTCCCTGACGTTAAATTGAAGTTCTCGGCGTCCCCGATTAGCCATCATAACCATCTGCCGCTGGGCGGTCATGAGATTTTCCCGAAGTGTATGGAGGAGTGCATCCCGCTCTTATAAGAGTTCATCTACCACCGGAACTCAACTCTCGCTCGCATGGTAAGGCAAAATTGAGGGAGGCGGCCGACCGTAAAATGCCTGGAAAGGAGTCATCTATAACTTGGTGTGATAGCTAGTATTTAAAGAGTACTCTGCCCAAGGAAGGAGGACCGTCCACCGTGCTAGTTTGTCCTGTGTGAATGCCCGCAAATATTGCTCCACGCAACGATTCATGACCTCCGTTTGCCCATCCGTTTGTGGGTGAAAAGCTGTGCTTGTTTTGAGCATTGTCCCACTAAGTTTCAACGTCTCCCGCCAAAAAGTGCTCATAAAGATTTTGTCGCGGTCCGAGACAATTGATTTTGGAAAACCATGCAACTTGACCACGATGTCAATAAACATGAACATCGTCCTATGAGCGTCAAAATCCGTAGGTAAAGCTCCCAAATGCATCACTTTTGTGAGACGATCAACCACCACGAGGATAACGGTGAAGCCCTGCGACGACAGCAACCGACAATGAAGTCCATCGAGATGTCGTCCCAGACCTGTGTCGGCACGGGGAGGGGTTGCAATAAGCCGACGGGGGGTTGAGTAGAGTACTTCGTGGTTTGGAAGACATGACATGCGGCCACATATTTGGTCATGTCCGCCCGCATGCGTGGCCTGAAGAAGGACTGAGCTAGCCGTTGGAAAGTACGCTGAATACACGGGTGCCCCGCTAGTGGTGTGTCATGGTACTCCTTGATTAAGGGTACGCGCAACGGCGATGCTTCCCTAATGCAGAGGCGATGCTTATAATAAAGTAGGCCATCAGCAAAAGCATACGGAGCGGGAAGGGTGCCTTAAGCGTGCACCGCATGCTTCGCTTGTAAATCGGGTTGGGTGTGGTTTTATGCCCGGATATAAGCCATTAGGGCTGGTACTGGCTGAGAGGAGGACAACAGCATATGGGATTCAACAACATCATTCTCAACGCATGACAGTGCGTCGGCCACCCGATTCGAGGTACCCTGTTTATATTCAATTTTAAACCAAAAACCCAACAACTTCCGGACATAAAACTATTGATCCAGAATTTGGATGACCTATGATAGTAGCTCCCGCAAGCTCTTTTGGTTGGTACGAACGAGGAATTCCCGTCCAAGTAGGTATTGCCGCCATTTATCCGACGGAGCACCTGATTTCACCGAGAGCAACTACATATGTTCTGCGCCCCATCTCATCTTTCCATCACTTTGCTCCAAAATCCAAGATGGTTGAAGATTCAAAGAGTGGATTGCTCCTTTGGTTCAACATTCTTTCTCCGGACCTAAAGCACGAGTGGGAGCCTCCACCTTGAGGACAAGGTGGAATTTAAGGGGGTGATAATGATACAAATAGTTAATTAGAATATTTTAATTAGTTATATTATTATTTATTATTTATTTATTATTATTTAGTATTATTCTATAGATTAGGGTTTTTATATGGGCCCGAGCCATTTAGGTCATGTAGCCATGTAGGTGGACATCTCATCGTTATATATTGTAATCCCATATCATTGTCAATCAATCAATAATCAAGAATTTGTTGATCAATTCTTAAACATAAAATATAAATTAGGGATTTAATCATGTGTACCTGATAATCCTGTAAACGTAGTTAGGGATGAAGCCATGATTCTCACGCAGATCGAGTTCCCGTTTAGGGTGTATCGTTATGATGGCTAAGGTGAGGATGAGACTCACGAGAATAGAGAGGCAGAGAGAAGGCGTAAGATTGGTGTGTGTTCTGATCTCTGTCTAATGACCTCTATATATACACCCAAGGGGAAACCCTAATTAGGTGATAAGGGTAATTACGTCCATCGAATAATTACCAATTAAGTACGTAGGGTATTTATTAGGTCAATGATCAATTAATTAGATAAATGATAACTCAGGCCACATAATAAAATCGTGTCCAACATTCTCCCACTTGGCCGAGTAATCATTTATGATGAGTATTAGATAAGTCTGATCAGATTTTAATACTCATTTTAGTTCTAAACCAAAACTGTAGCAGAGAACTACAGTCATTGAATCGAAACTCAATTCAAGACCCCCATTAATCATACTACAATACCAAATTTAAAACTTAAATAAGCTAATGATCAAA